CATCATGCTTGGTAAAGTAAAGGGTAAGCAAAAAAGAGGAAGACCGTCAACGAGAAGGATTGACACAGTGGCTGCAACTATGGACTCAAACATAACAACAATTGTGAGCATGGCACAGGACCAGGCAGTGTTTCGTTCTGTGGTACATAGGGTTGCTATGAGTCAGAACTAACTCAAAGCCACCTAAAAATAACAACAACAGGAAGCTTCTATGACTTTGCCTTGAGTCATTTCCCTTCACCAGAGTTAACACTTGTCTACTAGCTAGTTAGTGATTTTCCCTCCCTAACCCTCCCCTCCCTCGTAACCATCAAAGATTGTTTTTTTCTGCATGTAAACTTTTTCTTGGGTTTTTATAATAATGGTCTCATACGATATTTGTCCTTTTGTAATTGCCCTATTCACTCAGCATAATGACCTCCAGATTCGTTCATGTTGTGACATGTTTTATGGATTCATCATTGTTCTCTATCATTGTATAGTATTCTGTTTTGTGTATGGACCATAATTTGTTTATCCATTCATCTGTTGATGGACAATTAGGTGATAATTTTTATTAGATTTATACTTAGGCAACTTATACACTCTTACACTATTTGTAAGTGCTATCTGTCTTAGTTATCTGGTGCTGCTATGACATAAATACCATAAGTGGATGACTTTAACAAACAGAAATTTATTATCTCACAGTCTAGGAGGCTAGAAGTTCAAATTCAGGGTGCCAGCTCCAGGGGAAGGCTTTCTAGCTCTGTCGGCTCTGGAGGAAGGTCCTTATTATCAATCTTCCCCTAGTGTAGGAGCTTCTCAGCACAGGGATTCCAGGTCCAAATGACATGCTCTGCTCCTGGCTCTTCCTGCTTGGTGATAATGAGGTCCTTCTTCCCTCTGCTTGATTCTCTCTTTTATATCTCAAAAGAGATTGACTCAAGATACAACCTAATCCTATAGATTGAATCCTGCCTCATTAAGATAACTTCCTCTAATCATTCCTCATTAACATCATAAACCACAATAGAACAGAGCAGAGCTGCCCCATAAGGTTTACCAAGGAGTGGCTGATGGATTCCAACTGCTGACCTTTTGGTTAGCGGCCAAGCTCTTAACCACTGTGCCACGAAGGCATAGAGGTTAGGATTTACAACACATAGGATAAATACATCAGATCACAAAATGGAAGACAACCACACAATACTGGGGATCATGGCTTAGCCAAGTTGACCCACATTTTTGGAACACACAATTCAATCCATAGCACTATTTTTTTTTAAATTATATTTTATAATTAATTGATGTTGGTACAAAGATGCACCTGATTTATGCATATTGAGCTTATTTCTAGCAAACTTACTGAATTCTTTCATTACTTCAAATAGGCATACCATTTGCAAATAATAATAATTTCATTTCTCTCCCTTTCTCTCTCCCTTTCTCTCTCCCTCTCTCTCCCTCTCTCATTGTATTAGCTAGGACCTCTGGTACACTGCTGAGTAACCAGGTGTTAGCAGGCATCCTTGACTTGTTCCTGACTTTAGGAAAATGCTCCTAGGATTTCACCATTAAATATGATGATTAATCTATTCTTTGTTTGCTAAGAGATTTTTATTCTTTTTACCATAAATGAGAGTAAAGTTTTATTGAATGTCTTTTCAGCATTTATTGATATGATTATATATTCATATGTACATTTCTTCTTTGATCTGTTATTGAGGTAAATTATATTAATAGGCCTTCTAATAGTAAACTCTCTTAAAAATCCTAAAATAGAGCCTATCTGATTATGGTATTTTTTAAATGAATACCTCGCTGGATTCCATTCACTGATATTATATAGAATTTTTGCATTATATCCACAAGTTAAATTGAGTTCTAATTTTACCTATTCATCCACCAACTCTATATTAGCCTTAGGGGCTGGATTGTCTATCTTTACATGATTGACTCAATGTCATTATTTTTTAAAATATGTTCTTTGGGTCTTTATTTTATCTATAAATTCCATCCTCCCTCTTATGAATTAAATTGTGTCCCCCAAAAATACATGTTGTAAATCCTAACCTCTATGCCTGTGGTTATAATGCCATTTGGGAATGGGTTTTCTTTGTAATGTTAATGATGCAGGATTAGTGTAGAGTGTGTTTTGAGTCAATCTCTTACAAGAATAAAAGGAGCAGATTAAACAGGCAGAGATGAGGGAAGATAGATGCCAACCCACATAGAGATCTCCAAGGAACCAGAAACAGAAGCTGAAGAGACAAGGACCTTCCCCCAGAGCCAACAGAGACAGAAAGCCTTCCCTGAGACTGGCACCCTGAATTTGGACTTCTAGTCTCCTAAACTGTAAGAAAAATACATTTCTGTTTGTTAATGCCATCCACTTGTGGTACTTCTGTTATAGCAACATTAGATAACTAAGACATTCCCTCTCTTTTTCCTTGCAATTTATTTGTTGGAAAAAAAAATTGATCGTTTCCCTCATAGAAATTCCCAGAGTCTGAATTTTTTTTATTACTCTCTGGGGTGTTGTTTAACATATTCATCTGTCTCCTTTACTTCCTTTCATCCAGAGATTTGATCAGATTCACGGTCAATTTTGCAGCAAAAATACAAAAAAATCCTTATGTTATTTTCTGAATGTTTCTTTTGTACAACTTCCTATTCTTACTTCATGACTATATTTCTCTTATCTCTTTGATGATATCTATTTTTGTTGTTGTTGGAAAAACTTTATACGTCGGACATTACAGTAGAGTCTGTGACAACAATGGTGAAGAAAAGAAGTCATGGTGCCTGGCTGCATGGAATAACAATTCTAGTGGGGAAAATCAATATTAATTACAAACATAAATATATAAAAGCTAAGTGCTACAAAGGAGAAATAGATGGAGCTCAGAAAGCTTTGGCCTAATCATGGAGAGTATGCAGAATCTGCATGGGAAGGATCCAGTGTTTCCATCAAAGGGAATAGATATTTGCATTGTTAGTTGTTCTAGAAACAAATTTATCCTGGGACAAGAATAGTGGCAGTGAAGTAATCCTTAGATGGGAAAGATCTTCCTCATTTCTGTGTGGCCTTTTGATACTGAGGCCTAGACTCTGGATAAGAATCTATCTTAGAGAGAACTGCCATTGTGTAAAGGTGAGCTGTGTCCTTTGAAATGGAGGTAGATCAGGACCAAGGCAGGAGGACCATTCAGGACTCTGTAAATATAAGAACTGATGTGGGCCTGGGCCTCTGTGCATAGCCACATTTAGGAGTAGCAGTAGTAAGTTATTCCCTTTGTTGTTCTTCGCTTCAGGTAACCCTGAGCTTCCAGTAAATTTTTATTATTACCTGCATCCTGGTATTTTCTGTGTTGTGAGGATTAATGGACCAATCTTTCATATCCTGGAGTTACTGAGAAAAGTGGAAGGTGTCACCTCTCCTGTGGGCTAGAATGGTGGTAGCCATGGTGATCCCTCTGGAGGATGGCTTTATCCAATGGGAAGAGTCACTGGTGACAGAAACAACAACACGGCAGCCTGCAGGATGAGGACACTGGAATTGAAGGACATGGAGACCTGGCCTTTTATGAGACCACACTTGAATCATGCAGGAAAATGGTTGGAAGCCATTTTGAGGAAGGATAGTTTCCAGAAATTAAACCAGGCGCAGTCTGACTGTGACTGTGTCTTCACATAGTAGTCCCAAAACCCATTGCCGTTGAGTAGATTCCAACTCATAGCGACCCTAGTCACAGGTGGGTAAAGCCTAGACTCTGTATTACAAATGAATGTTCTTTAAAACAAAGGCTGAACAAAAGAGGACACTGGGAGAACGGTAGAAGATATCCTTTTGTCAGGGATTTGGGTTCATGTACCAGATGTTTATTACACAAGAAGGAATCTTAGTCCCTTGCCTACTGTGAGAGTAAAGGTAATAAAGGCTGAAGTAAAATGTACTGAGCAAATTTACTGAGTATCTGCTATGGACTAGGGATTGTGCTAAGGCATTTTACTTACACCAACTCATTTAATCTCAGCAAAATATGATGAAGTCGACAACATTGCCCTGACATTGTAGATGAAGAAGCTAAAGCTCAGAGATTAATTAAGAAGCCTTTTTCAAGGTTGTGCAGTGAGAAGTGCCCAACAGATATTTAACAGTAGTTTCTTCCCTTCGGGGACTCCTGAGTTTACAGTCAAGTAGTGGAGATATTTGATGAAGATTCATTCTTTTATTCTCCAAGAATTTCACAGTCTTGTTACAAATGGTCTGTCCAAAAGCCAACAAGAGAGACATTCAGGCACACAGAGAAACAAGTGGTCTGTGAAGTAGCCTCTAGCTTGGGAATTTTGAATAACTTCTTCAAGGGATAAAAAGCAATAGAGAGACAATTCCCACTGATGCCATTGCACAATTACCCTGCAAAGTAGAACAGTGCATTGTTCAGAGTCACAGAAAAGCCCAGGACTGGTGTTCTCTCCCTCTCATATCACACGAAGTCATATTAATTTTCAGGCCCACTATATTCATATTCACCATATTAATGAGATGCACAATTTTCAATGCCTGGAAATTTTTATCAATGTAAGAAATGTTTCAAGGGCTCTTCTGATGTTTTCCAACAGCTGCCCTCTTTCCACCCACCTTTATAAACAGAACTCCAAAAGGGATTGCCAAAGGGCCTTACCTGCTTGCTGTGGCGCCTGCCATATCTCAATTCTGTGGCAAAGTGCTCACAGTTGCAACACAGAAGGTTGTACTTCACCTTCTTACCAATTGTCTTCTTCGCCAAACTGATGATCTCATCAACAGGTCGTGGTTTGTACTTACAGTCCAAGTAGTTGCTGACCCAGTACTCATCTTCCTTCACCACTTCCTTCAGAGGCTCCTGTTTCACCACAACCTGGATCCCTGAAATAAGAAGATATTGGAGAAGCCAGCCCTGGAAAACCTACCTGGGGCCACAGCAGACCCTCCTTGGGGTGCTACTGCACTCAGTAGTATAAGGGTGAGAAAGGAAGGGAAAAAGAACAAACAAAAAGTTCCACTGTTGACCTTTGAATGTGTTTATCCCTTCCTACTCTTTACTTTTGCTCTTGTTTTATGGTAATTTAACATGAATGCAATTATACAACACACAGATTTTGTTACCTAAACATGTAACGATATGTTAGAATATGTTCCCATAGCAACAAACATGGAACTACATCATAACTTGAAATGGCTACCATGCTATTCCATTATATGCAGCTAGTTATCTTAATTTATTTGACCAATCCCCTATCGCTGGGCATTTAGGTTAAATTCTTTCTCTGTTATAAACAGTTATATTACAAACATCCTTAAGTCTTATGCATCTTTGGGCATTTGTCCAATTCAGAAGAGAATTGTTTCTTGAGTACCTACCAAGACCAAGACCATGAAGGCTCTTTTACATATATCATCTCTTTCAATCTTCTTCACATCCCTTTGAGGTAAAAAACCAATCTCCATTTTACAAAACCAATCTTTGAGCCACAGAAAAGTAGCATACCCAATGGTCAAAAGTTGTGGAACCAGAATTTGCAACAACTCCAAATATACGACTATTTCCACACTACTGTGTAGAAACTTTGAGACTCTTTGGCAACCAGAATGGTTTTTTATATTTTTCCTGCATCATGTCAGCTGTCATAGTTCTAGGCATTTAAGAAAGGTTCACAAGACAGCTATTAACAGATGCATGCCACATTCCATTCCCTAGTGAATAAAGGTCCAGAGTATTATGTTTCAAAAAAAAACAGACAAATTAATAAAATTAGTTGCTCTCAAGTCAATTCCAACTCATGGCGACCCCATGTGTGTCAGAGTAGAACTGTGCTCCATAGAGTTTTTAATGGCTGATTTTTCTGAAGTAGATTGCCAGACCATTTTTCTGAGGTACTCTGGGTGGACACAAAATGCCAACCTTTTAGTTAGCAGCCGAGTGCACTAACCATTTTTACCACACAGGGACCTATTAATTGTGATTTTGTTCACATTTCTCAACTAAAAATTTGTATTTAAAAAAAAAATGGTTAATTTTTTACCTGATTTGTTCAGATGGACTACATTACCATCTCCCATATAAATGGCCCAGTGCTTATAGGCAGCACGAGAAATTGCAATCAGGTCTCCAGGTTGTGGATCTTGGCATGACTGCAACAGAAAAGAAAAGAGAGAGTGTAGATAGACTTGGAAACACCCGTGATCTGGCTAGGGGGAGCTACAGGTCAGAGCAGACGCTCATTGCCTTCATCACCTGGTAGGAACTCTAGAAGCCTAGACCCAACATGGCCACTTGCCAAATTTTCTGAATTAAGAAATTGAGTCTCAGATGGTTGAAGTGAATTGAAAACGGTCCCCCAGGTGGTCATTGGCAGTGTGAGAGTTGCAATCTGTATTCATAAAATTTAGAGCAATGGGTTCCTCCACCCACTATGCTGGGCTGACAATCCTCTGGAATGTTTCCAGACTAAAAGGTGCTTTTCAAGGATGCGACGGATCTAAGTTCACTTAGTTATGATTGGACAAGTTGGACAAATTACCTAAACTCTTCTAGCCCAAGTCCTCACGTGCAGACTGGGGAAATGAGACCTACTTGGCAAGCTGGTTGTCAGGGCTTAATGAGCTTTCACGTGCCTGGTATTGTAGTATTCCACCACGAGTGTGTTGTTTTGTCATACTACTGTGGCTTGTGTGTTGTTGTGGTGCTGGAAGCTATGCCACTGGTATTTCAAATACCAGCAATGTTATTCATGGTGGACAGGTTTCATTGGAGCTTCCAGACTAAATACAGACTAGGAAGAAAGACTTAATGGTCTACTTCTGAAAAAATTGGTCAGAGAAAACCTTATGAATATCAGCGGAACATTGTCTGATATAATGCCAGAAGATGAGCCCCTCAGGTTGGAAGGCACTCAGAATATGACTGGGAAGAGCTGCCTCCTCAAAGTAGAGTCAATCTTAATGACATGGATGGAATCATGCTTTTGGGATCTTCATTTGCTGATGGGGCATGACTCAAAATGAGAAGAAACAGCTGCAAAGATCCATTAATAATTGGAACGTGGAATGTACAAAGTAAGAATCTAGGAAAATTGGAATTTATCTAAAACGAAATGGCATGAGTGAACTGAAATGCACTGGTACTGGCCATTTTGAATCACACAATCATATGGTCTACTACGCCAGGAATGACAAATTGAAGAGGAATAGCATCGCATTCATCATCAAAAAGAACATTTCAAGATCTATCTTGAAGTACAACGCTATCAGTGATAGGATAATATCCATACACCTACAAGCAGACCAGTTAATATGACTATTATTCAAATTTACACACCAATCATTAAGGCCAAAGATGAAGAAATTAAACATTTTTACCAACTTCTGCAATCTGAAATTGATCAAACATGCAATCAAGATGCATTGACAATTACTGATGATTGTAATGCAAAAGTCTGAAACAAAGAAGAAGGATCAGTAGTTGAAATATATGGACTTGGTGACAGAAAAGATGCCAGAGATCACTTGATAGAATTTTGCAAGACCAAAAACTTATTCATTGCAAATACCTTTTTTCAACAACATGAACAATGACTATACACACAGACCTTACTGGATGGAATATACAGGAGTCAAATCAACTACACCTGTGGAAAGAGACAATGGAGAAGCTCAGTATCATCAGTCAGAACAAGGACAGGGGCCGACTGTGGAATAGACCGTCAATTGCCCATATGCAAGTACAAGTTGAAGCTGAAGAAAATTAAAACAAGTCCATGAGAACCAAAATACAGCCTTGAATATATTCTACCTGAATTGGGAGACCATCTCAAGAATAAATTTGACACATTGAATAGTAATGATCAAAGAAAAGACAAGTTGTGGGATGACATCAAGGACATCAGACATGAAAAAAGCAAAATTACATTTAAAAGACAGGAAGGGAAGAAAAGACCAAAACAGATGTCAGAAGTGACTCCGAAACTTGCTCTTGAATGTAGAGTAGCTAAAGCAAAAGAAGAAATGATGAAATAAAAGAGCTGCATAGAAGATTTCAAAGGGCAACTTGAGAAGACAAAATAAAGTATTATAATGAAATGTGCAAAGACCTGGAGGAGGAAAACCAGAAGAGAACACGCTCCACTTTTCTCAAGCTGAAAGAACTGAAGAACATATTCCAGGCTTGAGTTGCAATACTGAAGGAGTCTATAGAAAATATTGAATGACACAAGAAACATCAAAAAAGATGGATGAATACACAGAGTTACTATACCAAAAAGAATTGGTTGATGTTCAACCATTTCAAGAGGTAGCATATGATCAAGAACCAATGGTACTGAAGAAAGATGTCCAAGCTGCACTGAACGTATTGGCAAAAAAACAAATCTCCAGGAATTGATGGAATACCAATTGACATGCTTCAACAAATGGATGCAAGGCTAGAAGCACTCACTTGTCTATGCCAGGAAATTTAGAAGACAGCTACCTGGCTAACTGACTGGAAGAGATCTATGCCCGTGCCCATTCCAAAGAAAGATGATCCAACAGAATGTGGAAATTATCAAACAATATTATCAATATCACACACAAGTAAAATTTTGCTGAAGATAATTCAAAAATGCTTGCAGCAGTAGTTCGACAAGGAAATGCCAGAAATTCAAGCCAGATTAAGAGGATGTGGAACAAGGGATATCATTGCTGATGTCAGATGAATCTTGGCTGAAAGCAGAGAATACCAGAAAGATGTTGTCATGGATTGAATTGTGTCCCCCAAAAATATGTGTCTTGTTTAGGCCATGATTCCCAGCATTGTGTGGTTGTCCTCCATTTTGTGATTGGTATAATTCTCCTATATGTTGTAAATCCTGGTCTCTGCCTGTGGTTAATGAGGCAAGATTGGATTATGTTAAAGAGGGTTAGAATGGGATGTAACACCCTTGCTCAGGTCACATCCCTTATCAAATGTAAAGGGAGTTTCCCTGGGGTGTGGCCTGCTCCACCTTTTATCTTACAAGAGATAAAAGGAAAGAGAAGCAAGCAGAGAGTGGAGACCTCATGCCACCAAGAAAGAAGCACAGGAGCAGAGCGCACCCTTTGGACCCGGGGTCCCTGAAGCTGAGAAGTTCCTCAACCAGGGGAAAATTGATGACAAGGACTTTCCTCCAGAGCCAACAAAGAGAGAAAGCCTTCCCCTGGAGCTGATGCCCTGAATTTGGACTCGTAGCCTACTAGACTGTGAGAGAGTAAATTTCCCTGTTAAAGCCATCCACTTGTGGTATTTCTGTTATAGCAGTACTAGATGACTAAGGCAGGGGTTTACCTGTATTTTACTGACTATGCAAAGGCATTCAACTGTGTGGATCATAACAAATTTTGGATAACATGATAACGTTTCAAAGAATGGGAATTCCAGAACACTTAACTGTGCTCACGAAGAACCTGTACATGGACAAAGAGACGTTCGTTCAAACAGAACAAGAGGATACCGTGTGGTTTTAAACCAGGAAAGATGTGCGTCAAGGCTGTCTCCTTTCACCATACTTATTCAATCTGTATGCTGAGCAAATAATCTGAGAAGCTGGACTATATGAAGAAGAACACAGGATCAGGATTGGTGGAAGACTCATTAACAAACTGAGATGCACAGATAACACAATCTTGCTTGCTGAAAGCAAGGAGTACTTGAAGCACTTACTGTTGAAGATCAAAGACTACAGCCTTCAGTATAGATTACACCTCAACATAAAGAAAACAAAAATCTGCACAACTGGACCAATAAGCAACATCATGACAAATGGAGAAAAGATTGACGTTGTCAAGGATTTCATTTTACTTGGATCCACAATCAACACCCATGGAAGCAGCGGTCAAGAAATCAAACGATGTATTGCATTGGGCAAATCTGCTGCAAAAGACCTCTTTAAAGAGTTAAGAAGCAAAGATGTCATTTTGAGGACTACAGTGCACCTGACCCAAGCCATGGTATTTTCAATTACCTCATATGCATACAAAAGCTGGACAATGAATAAGTAAGACAAATGAAGAACTGATGCTTTTGAATTATGATGTCGGTGAAGAATATTGAATATACTGTGGACTGCCAAAAGATTGAAAAAGTCTGTCTTGGAAAAACTACATCCAGAGTGCTCCTTGGAAGTGAGGATGGTGAGACTTCAAATCACAGACTTTGGACATGTTATCAGGAGGGACGAGTGCCTGGAGAAGGACATCATAGTGGCAAAGTAGAGGGTCTGCAAAAAAGCAGAAGACCTTCAATGAGATGAATTGACATAGTGGCTGCAACAATGGGCTCAAGCATAACAATTGTGAGGATGGCACATGTCTTAGTCATCTAGTGCTGCTCTAACAGAAATACCACAAATGGATGGCTTTAACAAAGAGAAGTTTATTCTCTCACAGTCCAGTAGGCTACAAGTCCAAATTCAGGGCATCAGCTTCAGGAGAAGGCTTTCTGTCTCTGTCAGCTCTGGAGGAAGGTCCTTGTCATCAGTTTTCCCTTGGTCTGGGAGCTTCTCTGCGCAGGAACCTCAGGTCCAAAGGATGCACTCTGCTCCAGGCACTGCTTTCTTGGTGGTATGAGGTTCCCATGTGTCTCTGCTCGCTTCTCTCTTTTATATCTCCGAACAGACTGGCTTAAGACACTATCCAGTCTTGTATACCTCATCAGTATAACCTCATCTTAGCGTTAGAGTTTACAACACAGAAGGAAATCACATATACCCTCATCATAGCGACAGAGTTTACAACACCTAAGGAAATCACATCAGATTACACAATCATACAATACTGGGAATCATGACCTAGCCAAGTTGATACACACATTTTTGGGGGGACACAATTCAATCCATGACAGCACAGGACTATTTCATTCTGTTGTACATGGGGTCACTATGAATCGGAACTAACTGAATGGCACCTAACAACAACAACACTGTAGTATTATGAGGCATTGGTGGTTCAGTGGTAGAATTTTCACCTTCCACGCAGGAGACCTTGGTTCGATTCCTGACCAATGCACCTTGTGCACAGCCACATGTCAGGGGAGGCTTGCATGTTGCTATGATGCTGAACAGGTTTCAGCAGAACTTCCAGACTAAGACAGAATAAGAAGAGAGGCCTGACAATCTGCTTCTGAAAATCAGCCAATGAAAAAACTATGAATCACAATGATTAAATCCACAAGTGACCATGGAGATATTGCAGGACCAGGTAGCTTTCTGTTCCATTATGCATGGAGTTGCCATGAGTTGGGGTGGGAGGCGACTCAACAACAGCTATCAACAACACTATAGTACTACTGTGAGAATACTATTAATACTATAGTACTGATGTGTAGTATTAATTTGAGAAATACTGTGCAGGCTACACTGGTAGTTTTCCATGCCCCCTCCTCTATTCCCACCCCAGGAAGAACACCAGTAGAGAGAAGGATCACACCAATGGGGGCCTTACCAACTTGCAGCGGGGCCAGCCATATCTCAGATCAGTGACAAAGTCCTCACTGTTCTCAAATAAAACCTTGTAAGTCTTCTTGTCACCAATCATCTTCTTTGCAGAACCGATGATTTCATCAACAGGCCGTGGTCGGTACTGATGGTCCAAGTGGTTGTTGACCCGGTAAAGGCAGCCCCATGCCACATCCTCTAGGGGATCATTTGCCACCACAGCCTTGCGGCTCAGAAACATGAACATTTTGGAGGAACCAAATCTGGGGAACTCACCTGGGAGTCAGGGAGAGACCACAAGGCAAGTGGGACAGGCAGATAGAAGGCAGGAGAAAAGAAAAAAAGAACAAAAGGTACCAATTATTGAGCTTTGGATGCTTAACTTTTCACAAAGGTGACTGAAGGATTCACTGTTCTTATTCTTTTTCTGAACAAGATGCCTTGAGTAATTTTTTGTTGTTATTAGTTGCCTTTGAGTCAGCTTTGATTTATGGCGACTTTATGTATAACAGAATGAAACGTTGCTGGGTCCTGCACTGTCTTCCTGATCATTACTATGTTTGAGTCCATTGTGTCAGCTATTGTGTTACAAATGTCATGATCGCCAGTGGCTGACATAGTTTTCCAATAAACGCATGCAAATGATTTATTTGACCAATTCCCTATTATTGGGCATTTGGGTTGTTGAAAAATTTTATCATTATAAACAATAATGTTAAAAAATACAACCAAATATACTTGTTCATCTCTATACATTAGTGTGATTCAGGAAAGGATCAATTTTATTGATACCTACTGTGCTTACCCACTCTTTGGAGCTATTTTTCCTATAATATCTAATTTAATTAGCTTTCTTTCCTTCGAGGTACATATTACCATCTCCCTTTTTCAGAGCTAGAGAGGGGTTAAAAGAGATTAAGTGTCAGATTTAAGAGAGATTATGTGTCAGACCCAAGCTCTTTGCTGTGAGAAATCATACAGCCAGGGTTTGAAACTGCTTCTTTCAGCCTGTCAAGGTCAGGCTCTGCACTGAGCTGAACCTTTGAAAATCTTATGCATAATTATCTTGAACCCTATGATGTGACACAGTTCAGAGCACATCCATAGGCTCAAAAATAGCTATAAAATGATGGAGTCCAAATTCCATTCTATAGTGCATGCAGGTTATTTTTCAGAGGGACAGTAACTAATGAGCACAATAATTAAGTAGACTTTTGTTTACATCTGTTTACTTTTCTAATCTGAAGGTTGATGTTGGCACTTAATATCCATCTTCTTAAGAAAAAGAAAAATCCAAATTCTGGAAAGTACTAAAAGGACCGCGTGTTCTCACTGTCATACTTTGCCTTACAAGCCCCCTAAGGATCATCAGGATTAAGTGAACTTGATTCACTATTTACCATCCATTCACACATTTTTTCAACTCTCTCAAGGTAGATGATGACTTGTACAAAGCCAATAAAATGTAAACGTCTTATTCTGATAGTGGTGACAATGGTCGTGTCCTGTGGCAGTGCAAATGCTTGGTGGAGAAAAGAACATCAAGGTTATGCTGTCTTTGGGCTGTAGGACATGAACAGTTTTGCATCTGATTTAGTGGTCTCATTCCAGCATTCGTTGTTTTCTTTAATTGACTCTACACACGTCCGTTTCCCGCATTCTCCTGGGACTGTTTTCCTCATCCTGCTGCTTCTGTCATTAATGAGTTAAGTAGTAATGAACAGGTACATGCTATGCATTTGCAACAGAATTTGCCGTTCTGGGGGCGTGTTTCTGTTAAAACTTCTGTTAAGGAGCATCTATTACATCGTACTAAGACCTTTATAGATGTCAGAAGAGACTCTGAAACTTGCTCTTGAACGTAGAGCAGCTATAGTGAATGGAAGAAATGATAAAGTAGAAGAGCTGAACAGATTTCAAAGGGCAGCTTGAGAGGACAAAGTGAAATATTATAATGAAATGTGCAAAGACCTGGAGTTGGAAAAACAAAAGGGAACAACATGCTTGGCATTTCTCAAGCTGAAAGAACTGAAGAAAAAATTCAAGCCTCAAATGACACTATTAAAGGATTCTATGGGCAAAAATATTGAACGACTCAAGAAACATCAAGAGAAGATGGAAGGATACACAGAGTCACTGTACCAAAAAGAATTGGTTAAAGTTCAACCATTTCAGGAGGTAGCTGTGATGGTTGAGATTGTGTGTCAACTTGGCTGGGTCATGATGCTCAGTGTTTTGGCAGTCGTATAATGTTGTGATCACTTCCATGTTGAAATCTGATATGTGATCACCTCCATGATGGGATTTGCTGTGAGCAGCCAATCAGTTGAAAGGGAGTTTCCTTGGGCATGTTGTCTGCATAGAATATAAGTAGACATTCTAGCCAGACTCGGGAGCTTTTTGCTCACACTGGATCCAGCAGTTGGCTCCTGTTCATCTGATCTCTGATTCTTGGGACTTGAGCTATCAGCTTACCTTCAGCCTTGCCTGCCAATCTTGGGATTCATCGATCTTGGCAGTCTGTGAGCAAGGGCCCTGCTCTCTGACCTGCAGATCTTGGATTCGCCAGTCCCTATGGCTACGTGAATCAGAAGAAGCCTCTCTCCTGACCCACGGACTTGGGAAGTTCCAGCCATTACAACTGCATGGGCCATTTCCTTGACATAAATATATATATATATATATATGTATGTATGTATTTATATGCTTTACCGGTTTTACTCTCTAGACAAGCCAGCATAAGACAGTAGCATATGATCAAGAGCTGCTGGTATTGAAGGAAGACGTCCAAGCTGCATTGAAGGCATTGGCCATAAACAAGGCTGACAGAATACCAAGTGACGTGCTTCAACAAATGGATACAAATGCTGGAAGCACTCACTCATCTATCGCAAGAAATTTGGAAGACAGCTACCTGGCCAACCGACTAGAAGAGATCCACATTTGTGTCATTCCAAAGAAAGGTGATCCAACAGAAAGTGGAAATTATAGAACAATATCATTAATATCACACACAAGTAAAATTTTGCTGAATTTAAAAATGGTTGCAGCAGTACAGCAACAGGGAAATGCCAGAAATTCAAGCCAGATTCAGAAGAGGATATCGAAAGAGGGATATCATTGCTGATGTTAGCTGGATCCTGGCTGAAAGCAGAGAATACCAGAAAGACGTTTACCTGTGTTTTGTTGACTATGCAAAGGCATTCAACCATGTGAATCATAACAAATTATGGATAACATTGCAAAGAATGGGAATTCCAGAACACTTAATTATGTTCATTAGAAACCTGTACATAAATCAAAAGACAGTCATTCAAACAGATCAAGGGAGAACTGTGTGGTTTCAGATCAGGAAAGGTGTGTATCAGGGTTGTATCCTTTCACCATACTTATTCAGTGTCTATGCTGAGCAAATAATCCAAGAAGTTGGACCGTATGAAGAACGAAGCATCAACAATGGAGGAAGATTCGTTAACAATCTGCGATACGCACATGACACAACCTTACTTGCTGACAGTGAAGAGGACTTGAAGCACTTACTGATGAAGATCAAAGACCACAGCCTTCAGTATGAATTGCTTCTCAACAGAAAGAAAAAAGTCCTCACAGCTGGAGCAATAAACAACATCATGATAAATGGAGAAAATATTGAAGTTGTCAAGGATTTCATTTTACTTGGATCCACAATCAATGCCCATGGAAGCAGCAGTCAAGAAATTAAACAACATATTGCATGGGGCAAATCTGCTGCAAAAGACCTCTTTAAAGTCTTCAAAAGCAAAGATGTCACTTTGAGGACTACGGTGCACCAGACCAAAGCCATGGTATTTTCAGCTGCCTCATGTGTATGTGAAAGCTGGACAATGAAAACGGAAGATAGAAAAAGAATTGACGCCTTTGAATTCTGATGTTGGTGAAGATTATTGAATATACCATGGACTGCCAGAAGAATGAACAAATCTGTCTTGGAGGAAGTACAGCCAGTATGCTCCTTAGAAGCAAAGATGATGAGACTTTGTCTGAGGTACTTTGGACATTTTATTAGGAGGGACCAGTCCCTGGAGAAGGACTTCATGCTTGGTAAGGTAAATGATCGGCGAAAAAGAAGACTCTCAATGAGATATATTGACACAATGGCTGCAATATAGGCTCAAACACCAGCAATTGTGAGGATGGCGCAGGACCTGGCAGTGTTTCGTTCTGCTTTACCTAGGGTCGCTATGAGTAGGAACTGACTTGATGGCACCTAACGAAAACAAGACACCTTATTCTGAAAAATCAGTTATGAAAAACAACACTGAGAGCCTTCTTATGTAAGGTCTGAGACCCTGACCTCTGGAGAACATTTGGTGCCTTAAATCACATCATCAGAGTCTACAGGAACAGAGTGATTATTCTCCGAGGTTTGACAGGGAGAGACCAGCTTGCTGAAGCAGCCTGGCTCACTGTGGGAATGAATGAATCTTTCCCTGCTTCATCAGACAACTGAGATCCTTGGTGCTGACACAGTGAACATGCAAGCATGACCTGCTATTGCACTGCTCAGAGAAAACTTGACTCCCAATTCAGGCTTCGTTGCTCAGCTCTGTCTTCCAGTTATTCTCATTATCTTATTAACAAATACGTTAAAAAAGTATATTTTGAACATTCCTTACTTGGAGGAGCCAGATGGATCACATAACCATCTCCCACGTAGATGGCCCAATCCTTGTAGCCAATGTGAAAAATCTCAATCAGGTCTCCAGGCTCAGGTTTTTCACAAAACTGAAACAGAAAAACCAGAGATAGTGTGGAGAGGCTTTTAGGGAAGTTCAGAGACGCTGGCAGGGGAGCTACAGGACAGCCTGGGGTCCTTCTTGCTAATGTCCATCAGGCAGTGAGAACCCAGGCAGGAGAGAGCTCCTGTCCCTCAAGGGAGCCTCAGCCTTCGTATCACTCTTTGAGGCTCCCTCCATGAGGCCACCAGGACTCGAAGCCTGGAAAATGAACCTTGCAGGAGAGGAGGTTTGTCCAGGATCAATGTGTGTTATATGTGCGTGTGCATGTGCACGTGTATATATGTGAGCACACATGGTTAGAATTCAGACACACCTGTACAGGTGCAACATGCACGTGCTTCTGAGTGCGTTGACAAGGGAGTCTGCAGGGACAAGCAGCTCCACTGAGGTGAGCAGCAACAGGCCCATCTGGAGCAATCAGCAAGTTAAGTTTTGAAAGTCTCTGCTCTTTGTAGATAGACCCTCACTTCCTCACCGTGTCCTCTTGCCCCATGACTGTTCATGACTACATGAAGCTCCTCCTGCTCAGGCTCTGCCCCCATCCACCTTGGGACACCCATGCCTTGGAGCTGACTACCTGACAGACACAAACTAACAGCATCTTAACAAGACCTGAGCCTTAGAATGGGACTCCTGTGGGGCCACCCAGCTTCCAGCAGTGAGGTGAGCTGACACATTCAAGGAGCAGGGTTTCCAGAAAGCACTTTTCCTATAGTAACTGCAACACTCACAACAGCCCTAGGAAGAAGGAATCATCATCCCACTGCAGATGTAGGGAGACTGAGAGTCAGAGAGGTAGAGGAACTTGCCCAAGAGTGATCAACTGGGAAGAGGGTGAGGTGGTTTTCTTTGCCCATTTCTCATACTGTTTTTCCATTGGCACCTGCCTTCCTCCCCTTCCAAACCCCCATTCCACTTCTCAAAGTCCTGCCCCAGGGCACCACAGCTTCATGAACCTACAATTTTTTTTTCTTCTCCTTTGTTCCTGATCTAAGTGAACAACAAGCCCTTCTCCATCCCTCGTTCCAGGCTGTCCAACCAGAAATCAGGGAGTGTTAATTTTGCCCCATTTCTCAGCCCAATGCTGTATCCAATCACCAAGTGTTGTCCATGCTGACCCTGCAGGTTTCCCCTGAATTAATTTTCTTGTCCCATCTTCCCCTCAGGAACCTGGTTTAGGGCAGCCCCGTCCCTGCCTCTGTGACCACCCCACCTCCTGTCCCTACCTCTCCTCATTCAGTCTCCCTATAACCCTGTGTGGCCTTCCCAAAGAGACCATCTGGCCATGACTTTCCTCTGGCCTCAGCCATAGTGCACACCCTTTGGGGAGCTCACAGGCCCTCCTCATCCCCCTGGGCCTTACCTGCACTCTGCCCTCCAGGCTGATTGGAGGACTTCAGGTTCCCTCACGCCAGTGCTCTCTTTTTTCTGCTCCTCTGCACACGCAGTTCTGCCTCCAGCCACCTTCCCACACCCACTCATCCTCTATTCCTATCTTGTTATGGATTGAATTGTGTCTCCCCCAAAATGTGTGTAGGAACTCTAACCCCTATAGCTGTGGATATAACATAATGCAATGTAATTACCTCCCATAATACAGTCTAATGTGATCAGTCAATCAGCTGAGGTCATAACAGTGTAGGATGGATCCTATATCTAATCACTTTTGAGTTATATAAAAAGCAGCATTTAAAAAAAAAAAAAAAAAGAAACCATTGCCATTGAGTTGATCCCTACTCATAGCAACCCTAAAGGACAGAGTAGAACTGCCTCCATAGGGTTTCCAAGGAGCGCCTGGTGGATTCAAACTGCTGACCTTTTGGTTAGCAGCTGTAGCTCTTAACCACTATACCACCAGAGTTTCCAAAAAAAAAAAAAGCAACATAGACAGGGGGAAATAGATGCCACTTGAGAATTGCCAAGGAACTAAGGAATGCCAGGCCTACACAGGCTGAGGGAGACAAAGATCTTCCCCTAGAGCGGACAGAGAGAACCTTCTCCTAGAGCTGACACCCTGAATTCAGACATCTAGCTACCTGAGCTGTGAGAAAATAAATTTCTCTTCTTTAAAGCCAACCACTTGTGGTATTTCTGATAGCAGAACTAGGAAACTAAGACACTTATCCACCACTCATCCCTTCCTTCAGCAGCTTACCCTGCTGGCCCCAACCTGGTCCACCTGACCCTCACAAAGTACTCAGGTCCTCCAGGGCCCCCACCTCTCCCTGCATGGGTAGCTGTGCTGCGCATGCCTACACCTGTCTGTGCTCCCCTCTAGGCTCTGAGTTCCGCCCAGGCAGCGATCCTGTGCTGCTCCCTGCCTCCTTAATTTCCAAGATACAGAGAAGGGCCTGGCATGTCATGGGGCAAAGGAAATACAAAGAGAAGAGGGAGGGAGGGTCAGTGTGCCAGGATTGCCGCCAGCTCCTGCTCTGTTTCATCCAAAAGCAGCACATCAGCTGAGGCTTGGCAGGGCTACATACAGTCTCCACCTGGGAGCAGAAGGGGATTTTTCACTCCATCTCCAAATGTCTAAGGACCTAGCCAGGGCACTGTTAACAACAGCCAGTGGAAAGCTGAAATCTTAGCTTGGGCCCTGCTTTGACAAGGAAATGGGCAGGGGCTAGCACTGGGGAGTGCCCACGTCCTTCCAGGGCCATTGCACCTTCCTCTGGGATAGGAGCTATGTCTTCCGGTACTTGTTGCATTTCCCATAATTGTATGAGCCCAGCTTTTTCTCTTTTAGCCTAACACCACTAAGCTGGGCCCACCACTCCCTGGAATTTTTCTGATTCAGGTCATTGGGGCTATTTGGAGGGGAAATTTCACAGATTAGAGGCTGAAATTAAAATGCACTTTAGAAGGAAGGGCAAACACCATGGAAGAAAGAGGAGAGAGAGGACATGTTTGGACTGAAAAGTGACTGAACCCCAGCTGGCTCCAAGGACATATAAGGTCAAGACTCATTCCCTTCGCAGAGAAACCAGGTCTCACCCCCACCAGGCCCACACTTGAGTGTCTTCCCTGCTGCTTCTAATGAGGGGGAGGAGGCAGGCCAGGCAGACACAACCCCATTCACAGCATCCCATGCTCCCTTCTCTGTGCCAGACCCAGAGAGGAGGTTGACACTGCCCAGACAGGCAGGGATGTGAACTTTTAAAGACAAAGATACTGTCCATGAAAGCCTTCAGATATGAGCACTGGAGTTAACTGTGCCCAGAGCCAGCAACCCAGACTGAGGCCTTTCCAGGAGAGAAGCTACCCATTCTGAGCCACCGATAGAAAGTTCCAGAACCTACCGGAGCCTTCTCAGAAGAAAGGTGGTGTGTCTGGTGCTCTGCTGCTCTTGGATCAAGGCTGAGGAATTCATTTTCAGTTTCATTCTGACACTGCTCAGGAAGATCACTGCTTAAAAAATAAAAAAAACTTTTTTGCCCTAAGCGGACAGGTTAATGATTCCCTGCATCAACATATGGAATCACTGGCACTTGAAGGTCACCTGAAAGTAGTAAGAGTAGGAAGAGAAGCTCTGCATTTCTCCCTGTCCTTTGGAAACCCAGGTCTCTTTCTGCAAGAACTCTGGGAGTTGTTCCTATCCCAGGAAAAAGGAATACTTAGCGACAGGGAATGTCCACCCCCAGTCACACGTTATCCTATAACAACCCCCAGGAAATATTGGGCCAGAGGGCATGGGGGCAGACCAGAGGGATCCCTACACCCATGAGAAAAGTCCTGCAGGTGGTGAGTGCCCCATACCTTGAGCACCCAGGCATCCATTGCCCCCTTAGGATACATTTGGAAGCAAGAAGCAGAACTAAACTAAAAGTGGCTTCAACAGCCTGGGCATCCACTGTCTCAGTAAGAGGAAGACAGGAAGCAGGTGATTCAGGTTCAGTTCAGCAGCTCACCAAGGCCACCAAGGACCCAGGCTCTTCCATGCATCATGCTGCTCTTGTGTCTGCAGTGACTCCCTGCATGGTCCGATATGGCTGCAGGAGCCTCCAGCATCACATTGTCACACAGGAATGTCCAAAGACAGAAAAGGAAGGTGTTTCTCATCCTGTCTCTCTTTTTACCAGGTAGCAAAATTTTTCCATAACCCCCTAACTGACTTGCTCCCAAGCTTCACTGTCTAGTCCTGAGTCACATTTCCACCCCCAAACCAATGGTGAGACAAGCGGAAGGGGCTAATCTGATAGACTTGGACCACTCATGGTGCTTCACCTGGATCAGCTAGGAGTGGGGGTACTCCTTTTTGCACAAACATCAGGGAGAAGGTGAGTGTAGGTGGTAGGGAGAGACATGGCTACTATTTAGGCACCACTAAGTCTAACTCACTCACCTTCATTCTAGTCCACTGTAAAAATACAGGCTCATTATATAGCATGGAAGAAGTACAGCCAGAATGTTCCTTAGAAGCTAGAGTGGCAAGACTTTGTCTCACATACTCTGGACAAGTTATCAGGAGGGACCAGTCCCTGGAGACAGACATCATGCACGCTTGGGAAAATAGAAGGTCAACGAAAGAGAGGAAGACCCTCAACAAGATGCATTGACACAGTGACTGCAATGATAGGCTCCAGCATAGCAACGATTATGACAATGGCGCAGGACCAGGTAGTGTTTCATTCTGTTGCACATGGGGTCACTATGAGTGGGAAACGACTCACTGGCACCTAAAAACAACATAGAACTACAAGGAGACTAGAACCAGTTCTCAGACAATCAGACTGGATACCCGTAGAGTCTGGTAGGAGAAATGGGGAAGACTGACTCACTGGAGACTTGAAGAGAATGCAGCAGCCATACTGAGGTGGGCATAGCCCCCATAGAGAGAGCACATGCCTGGGGGACTTGGAAAGGGAACTGCCCCTCCCCTAGCCCATCTCCTGCACCAAGTCCCCTCATCCAGACACAGACCCACAGAAGATGGTACAAACTCCTTTGCTCCCTTGGCTTTAGCCTCAGGCCTGGCACCACCCATCCTGTTTCCAAGTGACATTGACCCTTAAACTTCCTACAGATGTTCCCTATTTTCATTTGTAAAAGGATGTAAGGGAACCCTGGTATAGTAATGGTTAATTGCTCGGCTGCTAACTGAAAGGTTGGCAGTTTAAACCCACCCAGCAGCTCTGCAGGAAAAAGACTTGGTAATCTGCTCCTATAAATACAACAGCTAAGAAAACCCTATGAGGCAGCTCTACTCTGTCACACAGTGTTGCTATGAGTCGAAAACTGACTCAGCAGCACCAATAACAACAATAAAAGGTCTCTCCCCAGCACTGAGGTGAGATTCAAAATGGAAAAAAAAGAAGAAAAACTAAGCTGAAGGCCTTGCCTCTTTCAAGTACTGTCCCACCCCCTCTCCTTGCCTCAGTTACCTCCTCTTTAATAGTGAGGCATCCGTCATCTTCACCTCTGAGATGAGTCTGTGGTCCTGGGTGTACAGAACGGGAGGGAACTCTGGTCATAGCTGGTCCAGTTGAAGCCACC